TAAAACATCTTTCAACTTTTTATTTATTAAAATATTTTAAATTTAATATAATAATATGTCATTATAACCACTTGTTTTTAATATATAAATAATTTTAATTTTATTAAAATAAAATTAATGTAATAGTATAAATAATAATTATATATTATTAAATATAATAATTTAATGTAACAGTGTGTAATAATTATTTATTTAAATATAAATTTAATTATTTTTTCATATAATTTACTTTTTCTTTATTACATTTTTTTATATACTATTGTTTTATTTAATATTGCATACAATAAGATAGAGATAAATTAATAATTTGACTGAATATAAAACTATACTATCATATCAATTCAAACAAAATAATTATTATTATCATACATTAATATACAATTTTTTCATACGTAATATAACTTTATCATTACTATTATGTATCATTATTAAATATTATATACATTAATTATTCATTATAAAATTTATCCAAATAGAACATTACTGTACTATAATTTTATGATGTAAGTAGTTTTCATATGGGTGACTTTTATATGTTAGGTGTCTATTAATTATTGTACGATTCCACTTTATAATAATTAACAATTATGAAGCATAGTCTAATTTTGTATTTGCAGAAAAATTAATAGTTTATGTTTATAAATGAATAATGGGTTTGCTAATAATAATTAGAATAGAAACAATTATTAAAATACGTGTAAGTTTTATTTTTACACCCACACAAAAATTGACATTGAAGATATATATTAAATTACCACCATTCTAAAAATGCCTCCTAAATCTTAGATGCATGCATGAAAGCTCCTTGTTTAATAATTTGTTTTCTTCTTTTTCTATTTTTTTTTTTAAATTAAAAGTTTAATTTCAATATTTCAAAAATTAAAAAATAAAACATTACAATTAAATAATTTTAAAAAAGTTTACATGGAATAATAAAAAAAATATAATTAATAAAACGGCGTCGGCCCTCAGCACAAAAAACGTTCACGCAAACCCACCAGAATTCCACCCACATGCTCTTCTTTTCTTTCCATCCAATCAAAGCATAATTTTATTATTATTTATTATTTTTTTAAAAAGAGAAATAATCTCCTACTGCTAATCCACCCAATAAATCTGGAATCAACAGATTCCCGCAACGCACGCGCATGCACCATTTGTGGGTCGCCGCTTTCCCTTAATATTCGGGATTAAAAAACTTACACCCTGTTCTGCGTCTCTATCTCTAGATGCCACGCTGTCAGACAATATTCCACGTGGCAGTCAATAATCGAAAGTGAAAAGTGACCTGGCAACACGTGGAATTGACGTGGCCGAGGATTTAAAAATAGCAACAGAAACCGGAACTAACATCAAATTTCAATTCGGTTAAAATGAAGAGGCTGTCGACGTCATCCTCTGTCTCGTCTGGGAATATAAAAACGCGTTACCCACCAAACTCTAAAAACATCGTCGGAGAAAATCCCAAACACCAGACGAGGTGGTCGAGATCCGGCGGAGTTCGTCGGGTTTCGCCCATTTTATCTGAGCTACGGAAAATCCTTCCCTCGAATAGACAGGTAGGCAGAGAGAATCAGAAGGAGAATATGAAGGGCTCCGCTACCCTCGTGGCTTCTTTGTTTGCCGCATCCACTGTGGCTCTCACATCATCTTCCTCAGCAGGACTCCACGATTCTCCTTATTTTCCAATCAGCAACCAGGTTTTTTTATTCTTCTATATACTCTTTCTTATTTTCGTTCGCGCTCCTGTTTCTGAGTGCTCGTGATTGCAGATTCGATTATGAGTTTTTTCTTTTCCAAAATGTAACTTTGGATCTAGACGCCGCTCTCTGTCATGTATCCACCGTTTTTTGGTGTTAATTACCCCGAAAATTTCATTTAAAACATAATTTATTGATACAGCCAGTTACGGTTTTTCGTCCTCGAAATCTGGTGAACATGGGAATTTCCCCTAAATTCCATCTCACGTGATTTCTTTTAAAGCAGGATTTTGCATTTCAATGCAAACGAATATTAGACCCAATGCATATTCTAGGGCTAATTACTCTGTAAACTTTAATCGGTGATTGGAATTCGGGAAAAGAAAAAGTTCTTTTTGTTTTGTCTGTCTCTTTAATTGTCGTAAATTTTTGACTTTTTAATCTTCATCGTGTCGGTGTTGTTTTTAATTAGGGGTTTTCTCATTCAACGAAGAATGGTGCTCGCGAGACGCATACGACGTCGGATAAGGAAAAATTCGCGCCCCGATTTGATGGGTTGAGGTTCATAGAGACATTAATCACGGCTCACAGATGAATAATAATAACCCATGCCATTAACATCAAAACGGCGTCCATTTTCTTCGTTTTGAATTCCGGGTCGGGTTAATGGGAATACCAAGTAAAAATCATTTTACTCGGGAAATTCCTGAGGTGTGAGTGTACGGATTATTGGGAGCTTTTCTGTGTTCTATTGATGGGTCGTTTTTTCTTAACTTTGGACGGTGCAGATTAAAGCAAAAGTCCAAAGGTGACAGATTTTTTTCTCTCTCTCTCTTTTTTTCCCTCTGGAACTATGTCGTATCGGTGTTTTGGATTCTTATTCTTATTGGTATCTCAATACTGAATTTGATGGGAGAGAAATTGCCCATATTTTCTGGTCTTCGGCTCTTCTGTCTAAACTTGGGTTGGAAATTAGCTGGATTATATCTGGATGCAAAGTGAGGTTAGGTGTTCCATCACATGCTTAATTATGGGCATGACGTAAATAATAAAAATGTTATTAAAAATATAAAATATTGACTTGGTATGATTGACATTATTGAAGCTCGACAAATTGGTGAAAATTCAAAATTTTTTGTATTCTTAGTATAGTTTGGACGAGTGTACCAACTCTAATATATACACACGAGAGAGAGGAGTATGTAGAGATTCTCTTTTGCTTTAACGATATGTACACAAATTATATATACATACAAAAGGGAGAGCCACGAGTCTTTTGGGTTGACCCCAAAAAACGGAATAGGGTAAGGAAGAGAGAGAGAGATTAAAGTATATGCCAATTTGGTGCTGTCTTTTTAATTGGTCAAAAAAAAAATGTAAGACTCAAAAAAATGGTGGCAAGGAACGTCGCACCTTCTTCTTCTTTAAAAGTTTATTTACTCACCACAACATTATTTCCTTGTACTTGGGACTGAAATTTAGAACAACATTGTTTTTAATTCAAATAATAGGCTTATATATTCAATATATATTTGAATTTATTCAATCATATATATACAATTTCCTATTAAGGAAACAATAATAAAATACTCAATATAAAATTCATTCAAAATTATAATCACTCGTATTATTGATCATACTTTGACATCGTGTTAATTTCAGTACATACGTTATTAACATTAATGTAAATTTTAGATGTCTGTATGAAAGCCAAACTGACTTTTTCACACGGCACCAATTAAATGAAATTAACAAAAGATAACTTCTTCTCTTCAATATATATATATATATCTATTTAATTAAAGTTAAAAACCGTCACATATGGTATTTAAGAAATTATTTATAAGATAATTCAAATTCAAATTCAAATTCCACCCTAGCAAGCCCAATAAAATATTTTTAATCTTATCTTAGAAATTAATAAAAATACACGCCGTAACACTCGTCGAAGTCATATGGTGGTGATCCAAGTGATTGTGACCCATAAAGTCTTAAAAAATAATGACTACTCGTAAATAGTAGCCATCAAAGTTCGATGTTCAGCTTGTGGCTTAGTCATGGCTAGCCAGCCCCCATGTTTCTTTCAGCCATAACAAGTTTGAGTCCACAAAATCTTTATTTACATTTTCTTATTTTAAACATATATTAAAACTAATTGATAGAATTTGATTCTCAAAATAATGTTATGATTATTACAAAAATATTTTATTTGTACTTAAATAAACTTCCCAAGTAAATAATTTTGTAAGAAATTAAAGGTAAATTAGAAAAACTAAAAAAATAGTAAAATTACACTAAAAAAAATTGATTTCTTCCTATTATAACGGCTAGAGTTAAGATTACGTGAATGAAAAAAAAAAATTAAAATTTTTATATGATCATTATTATGTCGTTCAGTTAGTTACAATTTCTTATCATTAGAAAGGTTTCTACCTTATTTTTTTGTTATATATAGTTTTTAAAATAGTAAGGTCTCTTAAATAGAGATATTAAAAAATATTGTAATCATAAAGTATCTCTCTATCTCTAAAACTTTCTTTTTCTTTTTCTTTTTATTATTTTTTTTAAATTTCAACTATAAATAAAATCCGTTATATAACTCTTATATAGAAAAACTTTAATTCAATGCACAAAAATATGCAACATTAAGAAAATGTTGTTACTTCCAAATTCATAGTTTAGTACATATCTTGGTGTATATGCTTCCAAAACATTCTTGTACATAGAAAATTCGATTCTCAAGGTTATGGTCGGTCCATTGTCTCACTCAAAGGAACATGCCCAATGAGCACACATGACTCTTGTGACCATGAGTTTACAGGTAATAACTGTAACTATTATAAATATTTTAAAAAATTATATTTAAAAATTTTCAAAAAAATTAAAAATAAATAAAATATTAGAAAAAAAAAAAGAAGGTAATAATACTCTTTTTATTTTCTATTAATAAAAAACTACGCCCACCTGGTACTTTTGCTCTATTCTCCATCGTCCATTTTAAAATGTGTATAAAAATCAAAGAGAAACACGACAAATATGTTAGGATCCACCATCCACAATCCTGAACCGCTAGGCGCATCACTCCGGTGTCGTTTTCGCCACTTGATATATCATTTGTGCTTCAGCTAAATTTCACGTTCAAAATGCCAAAATAATTATAATAATTTCCTCAAATTAAAAAAAAAAAAAATTATGAATATTCTCCAATGATACTCAGCCATGTGGGCCCATCCGTCACGTGATGAGAACCAGACTTTGAGGCGCCTAGATTATGTGACTAACCTCAACCATTGAGACGGTGCCACGTGTCCCAACACAGGCTCTCATGCCATCGCTACAAATGCCATTACTTCCCTCCCCACCTGACCATAACGGAAGCTGATCATAGAACCCGGCGACCTCCTACTCGAGCCTTCACTTGCTGTCAATTTGGTAAGCACACTGCATCTATACACGTAGTTATAAATAAGCCTGTAACGAACTCCTCAGATTTTTGCGGCTGATGAAGAGATCTTATTGTTTCTACTTTGAATTTTGGTGGATTACAGCTCTGTTAATCGGGCTGAATGTTGGATTATTTTCTTTTTCCACACATACATACACATACACAAGTATATATAATGGCTACTTTGATTCTCTGTTTGTCAATATCTATGCTCTTAAATTAGTTCATCTCCTCCGATTAGTAGTATAGTTTCATTTTATCGATTATTATTTCATTGTCTTTTTTTTTTTTTTTGTTGTTTCGTCATTCACCATTTCTATCCTCTGCCAGTCCGAGTATCACAGGAATGGCAACTGTAACTGCTTCTCACTTCGCGTCAAGAAGCTCGCACGTTAACAGCCATGGAGGCTCAGGCTCAGAAACTAAAATAAACTTGGCTCAGGTCGGTTTGCGGGGTCAAGTGCTGACCCACAATGGTTTAAGGTCTTTGAACCTAACAGATGGGATTCAATGGAGATCCCTCGCCGTGGCTAAGATAGCAGCAAACAGAGCGCTGGCAGCGTCTACTGACAAGGCTTCATCTAAAATCGTTTGCATGCAAGGGATGCCAGTGGTTTTCGTGGGAGCTGAGGTTGGTCCCTGGAGCAAAACTGGTGGCCTTGGTGATGTCCTCGGTGGATTACCCCCTGCAATGGCGGTAAGCATAAATTTTCATGTTGTTAATGGTATGCTTTTATTCAGGTTTTATGTGTATGAATCTGATATCTGCAGCCTGATTGTTGTGCAGGCTAGAGGGCACCGTGTAATGACGGTGTCTCCTCGTTATGACCAGTACAAAGATGCATGGGACACTACTGTAGTAATTGAGGTAAATTCTCACATCTGATCTTACAAACGAGCCCAGATTTTGGTTCTGACAATACATATATGTGCATGTATATACAGTAGGACTTTGGAGAAATATGCTTTACTGTAATGCGGGTGATTGTTTCCGCATCCCCAATAACCTTCTCGAGAAAGTGCTTTATTTACTAGTCTTACGAAATCAAGACGTGTAACAACTCTTCTTGTTATCCATGTCAATTTAATTGAACTTCATTTAAGCACGTGTGTGATTTCTTCCCTCAAAAATGGCTTCCTCACATGCACAGATCCAAGTTGGGGACAGAGTTGAGAAAGTTCGGTTCTTCCACTGCTACAAACGAGGAGTTGATCGTGTCTTTGTAGACCACCCGATGTTCCTTGAGAAGGTTTGCTTAAATTTTCTTGCACATATGTAGAGGACTAAAAGCTTTCTTTTCTGATCTTAAGCTGTTTGAATATGTAAAAAGGTATGGGGCAAAACTGGGTCCAAAGTCTATGGCCCTAATGCAGGAGTGGATTATCAGGACAACCAGCTTCGATTCAGTTTGTTATGTCAGGTAATTAATGTTATTTTCGCCAGCTTGTTAAACCCAAGAGGGCTGAGCAGCTAAGTTCTTAAATTCAACATTCTAGATTAGAAATCAATTAGTGCTGTATGTCTACTCCCATGTCACAACATGGTCCATGGTCTAATACTGGGTTAATCTATGATCAGAATCAGCCTTATTATTCTGTTCTGGCAACTGTTCAGGGTACATATTGAGAGTTATTTTTTCTTTTTGTTCACTTATAGGCCGCTCTAGAAGCTCCAAGGGTTCTGAATTTAAGCAGCAGCGAATATTTCTCTGGACCTTATGGTGTGAACCCCTCTAGATCTCTTGAAACTATGAATTTCCTTTCATGAAATTGCTTCAGCTGTAACATCTATGTTTATGCAGGGGAGGATGTTGTCTTTGTTGCCAATGACTGGCACACTGCTCTTCTTCCGTGCTACTTGAAATCCATGTACCAGCCCAAGGGTATTTACAAAAATGCGAAGGTATTGTGATTCTTATTCAGATGAAACCATCTGGATTCCTAACTTAAAAGTGCTATTTGATGTTCATGTTGCTTCATTAATCAATACAGGTTGCCTTTTGCATCCACAACATAGCCTATCAAGGAAGATTTGCCTTTTCAGACTTCTCGCTTCTCAATTTGCCCGACAGTTTCAAGAGTTCTTTCGATTTCATTGATGGGTATGAAGTGCAGGATACATGTTTTCTTTTCATGAAAACCAAACTTCATTGTGTACTTGCCAAGATATTCAGGATTCTCCTTTTGTATCCAGGTATGAGAAGCCTGTGAAGGGAAGAAAAATCAATTGGATGAAGGCGGGAATACTAGAATCAAACAGGGTATTAACAGTGAGTCCATACTACGCCCAGGAACTCGTATCGGGAATTGACAGAGGAGTTGAATTGGATAACATCATCCGCAAAACTGGCATCATGGGCATCGTGAATGGTATGGATGTTCAGGAGTGGAATCCGGCAACAGACAAGTACATCGATGTCAAATATGAAGCTACAACTGTAAGTAAAATTTAATCTTAAAACATAGATGGCGGGAGAAGTATGTACTTACTACTTGTCAAAACATCATTTTCAGGTCATGGATGCAAAGCCTTTGCTCAAGGAAGCCCTGCAAGCAGAAGTGGGTCTGCCGGTAGACAGGAATATCCCATTAATTGGCTTCATTGGTAGATTGGAGGAGCAGAAAGGTTCAGATATTCTTGCAGCAGCTGTTCCTAAATTCATCGGAGAGGATGTCCAGATAGTAATTCTTGTAAGTATTGCATTTGAAGTTAAACTTCTCTTCAATTAATTTTTTGCTTTGGCAATACATGAAAATCATTAAATACCCGTAGAATACAGATCAGTTGAAATGCTTCATATATATGATTGATGTGCTTTGAACTTTTGTTGTTCGAATGTGTTGTTTTGGTCCAGGGAACGGGCAAAAAGCGAATGGAGAAGCAGATTGAGGAGCTGGAGATCAAATACCCTGGCAAGGCAGTAGGAGTTGCAAAATTCAATGTCCCGTTGGCACATATGATTACTGCTGGAGCTGACTTTATGTTGGTCCCGAGTAGATTCGAGCCATGTGGTCTTATCCAATTGCACGCTATGCGCTATGGAACAGTATGTCATTATTCTTTGAACTTTACATGGTCAAGGATGAACTTATATGGTACTAGACCCCTTAACTATATATCCCTTAATTTTGGCATAGGTGCCAATTGTTACCTCAACTGGTGGACTTGTTGACACAGTAAAGGAAGGTTTTACAGGATTCCAGATGGGCCAATTCAGTGTTGAAGTAAGTTAAACAAATGACTCCAATTAATGGAGGTTTTTCAGTTGTGTAAGTCTAAATTTCATGAACAATAAAGGATTACTGACTTGGTGGGATTGATTTTATCAGTGTGAAAGTGTTGACCCAGCTGATGTGATCAAAGTGGCAACAACAGTTAAAAGAGCCCTGGCAACCTACGGCACGGCTGCCTTGAAAGAAATGATCATGAATTGCATGGCTCAAGACCTTTCATGGAAGGTAATTAGTATTTTTATCCTCCTTATCATTCCACATATATATATACATTGTGAATGTGGTATTTAGAAAGCTTGTAATGGGGGTACGATGCAGGGACCAGCAAGAATGTGGGAGAAGATGCTTTTGAGCTTGGATGTTGCTGGGAGTGAACCGGGCATTGAAGGGGAGGAGGTGGCTCCTCTGGCCAAGGAAAATGTGGCCACTCCTTAAACCCATCTCTTCACTCAACCCAATGTGGATCGGCTAAGTGACTTGACTCAACCTAAAGGTTGTCTCAATACTAACTCCTAAAATGTTTCGGAGGGCAGTAGAGAAAATAAATTGGTCTCAGCCTACTTTTCTTTTTGCTTTCCCTTTGGAGGGTTTTATACATAATGTAAGTAAATAATCTGTAGAGACACAATTTCTCAACGTGAGTAGGCCAAGGCATGAATTCATATTAAACACCCTCCTCCTTTTTTTGGGGGTTTTTTTTTTCTTCATATACATACATACATATTAAGTGTGGTTGTAATTTGTAAACAAAGATGGCCATATAATATGATAAATGGGCTCTTGATCCAATCTTTTCAAAAGAAAATATGAATTGGGTGGTGGGTTCCTCAATAAATAATGCAAGAATTTTTTTTGTTGGGTCTTAAAATCTGGGCTTACATTCCCAAGCAACAGGAGAATTCTGTGGTACCTCTTAGAAAATAAAAAAGGGAATCCATTGGATTGGGTGCAAAGACAAGCAAAGGTGACATTCATCAACAAAATCCCAATTAAGAAACAAAAAAGTTGATTACTTTACCAACTTTTTTAACCTCTTTCCCACTAGTTTTCTCACCTCATTAATCTTTGACTTTCCCAAGCAAAAGAAGAGAGAATCCAATGATTTTTCTCAAGAAAATTCAATTTCATCATTTTTAATTTGGTATTTTATAAAGTTTAGATGTACAGAATCTAAATCTAAACAAAAATTTCTCCTTTCTCAAGTAATATACACCTATATATTTATACAATTAATTGATGAATAACATTACACCTACATACACGTGTGTGCATGTATATATTTTTGTGATGGGGACATCGGATGGGTCCATGCGCCGACAATCTTCACATGGTCACCCTTTTTCAACACAGAAAGTGGATTCTTCTTAGACGCGTGTTCAAATCATGTGGCAGTTAGAGATGTTTCTGTTTCAGCTAATCCGGCGTCGTTTAGACATTATTGCTTTACAGAAAGACACGACACAAGGAATAAGAATCAGATACGTGGCACACATGCAAAGCAAAGCTATTCTTCCCACTCCCCAACACTGCCTGCTAACTCTATATCGTAAATCTAGACCGTTGGTTGAATCACACGGAAAGGAATCTCAATTATTACGCACGACGGCCCAGCCCCAGTTCGACCCAGGAAGACCGCACGGTGGTTCAGATTAAATGTTTTGTTCAATTTGTTTCGTAGGCATAAATATAAATTAAGATAAATATAAAAATAATTTTATTTTTGAATCTTAAAAAAAAAAAATTGTATGTATAAATTTTAGTTAAAACTTTTTAAAAAGAGAAATTATCACCTACTTCGCGCATCCACGATTTCCACCATATGAACTTGCGACAACAGATTTGCGCAATGCACGCGCATGCACCGTGAAAAAATTTGTGGGTGACTTACTTTTCCCTTAACACTCGGGATCAAATATACTCTTCCTCTCTCTAGATGCCACGCTGTCAAAAAAGAAGTCCACGTGGCATTCAATTACACAGAAGCCGGAACTAAAATTAAATTTAAATTGGGAGACTGTCCACGTCATCTTCCATGAAAATAAAATATTGAGAGATAAAAAAATTGGGTTAATGGGTGGTTTAGTGGAGGGTAGTGGGGAATAACCGTCTTCTTAACTGTCACTATGAGACCAATGCCAAGACAAAAAATTAAGTCTGGTTAAATTAAATAGAAAATTAAATCAATTGCTGGGTCGTAGACGAGTTCTTCTGATCAGTAGTTTGGGGTAAATAAAGATGGAAGGGAAGAGAGAAGAGATAAGGAAAGGCCCGTGGAAGGCAGAGGAAGATGAAGTTCTGATCAACCATGTCAACAAATACGGACCCAGAGACTGGAGCTCCATTCGATCCAAAGGTCTACTTCAGCGAACCGGCAAGTCTTGTCGTCTTCGTTGGGTCAACAAACTCAGACCTAATTTGAAAAAGTACATATACCCACTTCTCGTGATTTTCTTTCATTGTTTTCTCTGATCTTATTCTGGTTCATAACTATATATGGGTACGTGTATATGTGTTACTGTGATTAGTGGGTGCAAGTTTTCAGCGGAGGAGGAGAGGGTGGTGATAGATTTGCAAGCACAGTTTGGAAACAAATGGGCAAGGATCGCTACTTATTTGCCGGGAAGAACCGATAATGATGTGAAGAATTTCTGGAGCAGTAGACAGAAGAGATTGGCAAGGATTCTCCATAATTCTACACCTTCCTCTTCCACTTCTAAATCACTCAAAATCAAAAGGGAAATTCCCACTTTTAGAGGTAAATTTTTATACAACAATTTTTGGGTATATACATACATATATATATATATGAAGTTATGATCCACCCAACATTTCCATATGGTAATTGTTTATTTGATGTGTATAGATTTTTCTTCTTAAAAATAACAATTCCTGTTGTTCGATATAATCCCAGGTTCCAAATTTAAGTTCTTCAATGGAGGAAGAATCATCTTATTCTTGTATTGGGATTCCAGAACCTATCAGCATGGTGACATTACCGGACCTTGTAAACCCTAACCCTAATCTTGATGATGCTGCAGCACTACACCTTATTGATCATCATCCCACTGAAACAAATCTCCACATTCCCACTCCTACTTTCTCACAAGAAAATCAACGACTGTTGAATAGACTTGACGAAGATCCTTACTTTTTTGACGTTGTGCTTGGGCCACTAGATTCTACTGAGATTTCTCTGGGGCAGCCATTTTTCGAACCTGCAAGAAGCTGCAGACATATAATGAGAGATGATGAGAATGCCAACTCGGTAACTCCGGATTCCTTCTTTGATGATTTCCCTGCGGACATGTTTGATCAAATGGAGTCACTTCCGAGTCCATCTCACACATCATGATAATATAAATGGCTAATCTTTCTTCTTAACTATGTATGTTCTTCTAGGTTTAGGATTGATTAACTCTTAACTTGGCTTCTTTTAACATGCAATATATATGTACCAATGTCAACTACATGTATTATGTTTATACATATATATGTATCTCACTAGTTTGGAACCCATCAGTTGGCTTGTCGATTCAACCAGTTAGTCAGCAGATATGCTGAGTTAGCTTTGTTTTGTGCCATTACGTTGAGCAATGCATAAAGTTTTCTAGTTCTTCCTTCCTTCTATTTTCTTTATGTTAGAAATGTGAAGATCAATTATAAATATTTTATGGAGCCTAAAAATATATGTTGAATTTGTTGTTATCTAAAATTCCTTATTCTTTAAAAGTGAAATACAATTATGTTATTCTCTTAGAAGTGTTAATTATATTAAATACAATTATATTATTGTTTTAAGTGTTAATTTTTCACTATATAATTAGTATTTCTACTTTTTTTAATTAAAATATGAATTTGAGTCGAGATATGCATTTAAAATGAGATTATAGTATTATTAATTATGTTATTATTAATGTATAAATGTTATCTAATTATTTAAATATATATTTTTTTGTAAAGATCCAGAACTTAAAAGGAAATAAAGTTATAAATTAAATGCGGAAGCGAAATAATAGAATTTAATGTTTACATTTCTTATACAATAATTTAAAATGTTCAATAGGTGAATGTTTTTTTAAAAGAACATAGGAAAATTAAAGAAATAAATAAAAGTTAAATAACTGAACATTTTAAAATGATCTTTACTAACTCTTTATCTGAAATAGTTAATAAAATGGTGAATTACACTACTCCAGTAAGAATATCATATTGCTCACCAATACAGAAACTGAATGTTGGTAAAAATTATAAAAACAACAAATGAAACTCCTGATTTAAATAAATTCATTTATCATAAGAAAAAAAACCATTTATTGTATATATTCATCGCTGCAAAATTTTTAAAATTGACCAATATAGACAATAACTCAAATAACACTATAATCTCATATTCAAGTGAGTAAGAACAACAATTTTCTATTTTTATTTGTCTACTAATATCCCTGGGGTCCATAGGGATGTCCCACTACGCATGAACCAGTATCCAACATTATCAACTAACTGGCCGTTCCTATACCCAATCTGGTATGAGCGCCAAAAATATCATCTCTCAATACCCCATTCGGTATGAGGGTGAATCGGGCTATTCTTATACCTCGTCCGGTATGAGTACTAAAAATATCATTTTTCGATACCCCGTCTAGTATGAGCCAACATTCATGGTAGGGTTTTTTATGTACCCAATTCGTCCACAATCTCTCAGGATATCCAGTAAGACAACCATTCATTAATTCACATAACCA